CGTCCCTCCCAGCTGCCCCAGCCCCGGTGAGCGGGTGGCTGCTGTGAGTCCATAGGGTCATGTTGGGACCTTCCTTCCCTGCAGGCCGTATCCTGTGCCTTTCCTGGCACCCGTCGGACAGTCGTATAGCAGCCGGCTCCATCGACATTCTGCGCGTGTTCGACGTCTGCTCAGGTAGCTCACCCACCCCAAGGAGTGAGCCTGGCCTGTTCCTTCCCCCGGGCCCCTTGGCACCGGCACGTGCCGTGCTGTGGGGGAATCCCCATGCCACCCCCAACCGCCCTTCCCCCATCTCAGGCCAAACTGTCCAGAGGATCATGGTGAACTACCACGTGCAGAAGGTAAAGCGCGAGTGCATCGTGTGGAGCATCGCCTTCCTCTCCAGTGGTACTGTCGTCACTTCAGACTCCTTTGGGAGAGTGCAGTTCTGGGACTGGGAGCGAGGGTCGCTGTTGGAGTCCCACACCGTCAGCACGTCGGCTGTCCTCTCGCTGGCCGTGTCAGAGGTAGGTGAGTCCCCACTGAGTGCCCTCCAGGCAGCTGGGGCCCCAGCTCGACTCCTCCATGCTGGGCCAGAGGCGCTTGGGCAGGAGCTGCCTGGCTTGGTGCCTTTGGGCTGGCAGGAGCAGGGCTGGGAGCGAGGCTGCCTGTCCCTGCCTGTCTCCCGGCGGCACCCACTCGTTCTTCCTGGTCTGTGCCTGCAAACGCCAGCCTCGTTTCCCTCCCCAGAAGGAGGACAGTATCGTCGTGGGCACCTCGACCGGGGCCACCTACCAGTTTCAGCTGTTGCCGGTGAAGATGGGCAGCCTGGAGAAGCGCTGGGTGCGGACAAAGCCCTTCCAGCATCACACCCACGATGTGCGAGCCGTGGCACACAGCTCAACAGCTCTCATCTCCGGGGGTAGGACTGGCCACGGTCACGAGGAGGGTTGGGTCTCCTCCCCACTACCGGCTTGGCTGAGCTCTGCTTGGCTTACAGGCTTGAATGGTGATCCGCCCGCTGATGGAGAAGATGCAGAAGAAGGGCTACGAAGCAGTGCTCCGCAAATTCATCTTCCCCCACGTGAGTGTGGCTCTGAGGGGGTTCTCGTGCCTGGCGAGGCAGGTTGGCAGGGCTGTCTTTTCCTGCAGGAGAATGCTGGCCCTCCCTGCCCCACTGGGTCCCCTCCTTGGCCCTAGCATGTCTGGAGGCTCCTGCCGTGGAGCAGGCGAGGGGGTAGAAGTTGGCAAGCTTGTCTTGCTGGTCCTGCTGGGTCTTCATCTCCAGGCTCCCACCCCATGGGACCCAAGTCCTTCCTCTTCCCCGCCCCAGAGTCTGGCACCCCAGGGCGTTTCAGCTTTGGCCCAGCCCTTTCTCCCAGGCTGCGGGTTCATGACAGTCTGCCCATTTCTGCATGCAGCGACGCCTTGTCTCCTGTGCCAGGAAAGCCCGGCTGCTCCTCTTCCAGTTCTCCCAGCACCTGGAGCTCTGGAGGCTTGGGTCCACCAATGAGACCGGTGAGTTGCAAGCCCCAGCTCTCTGGTGCGAGCCCTGTGGCAGAGCCTGTGCTGCCTGCAGGATTTGGGGTATGAACTGTCCTGCCTCTTGGGCAGCAGAGGGATGGTTTAGCCCAGACCCCTTCCGCCCCACAGCCGTGCACTGGTGGTGTGGCTATGGGCAGGGCTGCGTTTCCCAGCGTGGTGTGTGCCTGGGCCGGGGCTGCATGGCCAGCATGAAGCTTCCAGCAGAGCTGGGCCAAGCCCCGGGGAGTTCAGCCTTGGGGGAGTTTGGGGAAGGGTCTGGGCTCTCCCTCGGGCTCTGGTCCCCTGGGATCCCCCAGCTGCTCAACAGGACCCACGTGCTTTCCCCACCGTTGCTGCCGCACCACGTGGTTTCTTGTTGTCTCAGGAAAGGATGGCGAGGTCCTTCCTGTGTGCCGCATGCCTGAGCACCTCGTGCAGCTCAAGAGCAAGGTAGGGCTGAGCCGGGGCTGGGGCCTGCACTGCTGCAGGAGGGGGCTTGGCCGTCTCCCC